AAATTTTGATATCAATTATTAGAGAGATATCATTTTCATTTAAAGTACATGCATAAATATTTAAATTTAGGTCAAAAATTTTAAAATTTATAAAATCAAAACATTTGAAAAGTTGATATCAATTGTTAGAGAGATATCATTTGCATTAAAACCAAGTTTGACCAAAATTTTATTATGATGAACTAAAAATTCTTAAAAATTAATATAACTTTAAAATGTTCATCATAATCATCTTTTCAACATACATGAGATTAAAACAATGATGCATAAGCATTTAAAACCAAAACGCATGCATGCTTAAAATCAAATGAGCAAGCAAATAACCAAAATTAAAAGCATTAAGCTTAGAGGTTACCCATTCGTTTTCATGTGTGGATAAAGCATCTTGAATATCATCATTTTCATCACCATTGCTCCCACACACCTACAAGAGACATTTAAGTAGATTTTGGTATCCAAATTGCTTTGGATCCTTGGACGTTAGTTTCAATGCCCCTTGTTCCTTTAGGAATCCACATTTGTCTAATTTTAAAACGTTTTCCTTTCTTCAAAGGACAAGTATGTTCCTTATGACCATGATAATGACAATGTGAGCATATTGTCATTATTGAACTAAATGAAATATTTAAAATGATTTCTTTTTCTTTTGTTAAGCATTCAAGCTTAACTTTTAAATCAAAATTTTCTTTTTCAAAACTTTCAATTTTTATTTTTGAAAGCTCTAAATCCTTTTTCAAAATTTCATTTTGGCTTTCAAAATCTATTTTTGTTTTTAAAAGAAAATCGTTTTCTTATATTTGGAGTTCATGGTCTCAAACTCCGAATATAACCTATTAAAAGCATCTTGTAACTCATCAAACGTATATGAATTAAATTCATTTGAGTTAGAAGATACCTCGGGCATTTCACAAGCCATTAGAGACACCACCTTTGTTGGTTCTTCTTTCTTGTTTCCATGGATTTCCTCAAGCTTATTCCAAAGCTCCTTGGCACTTGAACATGAAGAAATTCCTTCATAGATTTCATGATCAAATGCACAAAACAACATGTGCATGGCCTTGGCATTAAGTTGAGCTTTCTTCCGTTCTTTGTCACTCCTCTTCTTCTCCTTCTTCTTTAGAGAATAGTAGTCTTTCTCGATTATCTCCCATGCATCAAGATCATTGGATTGGATGAATACCTTCATTAATTTCTTCCAATGATGATAGTTGACTCCATTGAAGTATGGAGGTTTGTCGGTTGGTAGGGAGTCTTCCATGTGGAACGAGCCGGAGGTGGAAGCCATCTTCTCAGTTATGTCGAGAATTGGTAGAGATTCTTCTAGGATCTTCTCAAGGTGGTTAAACCTTCTTAACGAGTTAGGCTCTGATGCCAATTGTTAGGATTTTCGGAAGCTCAAATCGATAACCGGAACGGTTTGCAAAGAGGGGTTGGAACGGTTTTGTGTTTAGGGAGTAAGGAGATTGAAAGATAGAGAATTGCACAGCGATTTATAGTGGTTCGACTTTCTCAACCAAAGTCTACGTCCACTACCTTGGCTCCTCACCAAGGATTTTCCAATAAATTCACTAATTTGTTCTTTCTTTTGAGGATAAAGAGTAACCTTACAAACTCCCTAGTTTTTCCATGCTAAACTAGAACCTTTCCCCTAGCTTTTACACGGGATTAGCTAGAACCTTTCCCCTTTACAAAAGGATAAGAAATGTAAACAAGAAAACCTCTCTAAGATAGGTATTTACAAGAATTAAGCTCACAAGAACAAAATATTTACAAGAGAAAGATGAAATAAGAATGAAAAACTCTTCTCTTGTGTTTGATTGCTTGGATGGTTGTTCTCTTTCTTCTTCAAGTGTCCTTAGCTTGTATTTATAGCATGGAATGTGTTTGAAGTCGTATATAGCCGTTGGGGATGTTTTGGAGCCGTTTGGAGATGAGAATCCATTAATAAAACAGCTTGGAGCATGGGGGGAATCGGTACCCCCTCATGGGAATCGGTTCCCTAAGTGCAATCTGTTTTTGACCGTTAGACAGTGGGGAATCGGTACCCCCTGGGCAATCTGATTTTTCTTGGCTTTGAAACGGTTCGAAATACTTTGTAAAATTGTTTTAAAAATAGTTTAAGTATAAAACAAAATTTTACACTTTAGTAAGGATTAAAATGAACTTTAAAAGACTTGGAGTAATATTTTGATATTCGAATAATTACATCGAATATACTTAGAAAATCTTTTGTAAAATCTTAAAATTCATTTAACTTAATTTGTTATATCGAAACATCAAAATGTTTTCAACATACCCTAGGGCCACGCGGTCGCCGTCTTCACTGCCACCGTTCCACGTCGCTTCATCTGCTGCCACGACGCCCACCAAAGGCTTTTAGAAGAGCCATTCCAGTCGCACACGTCGTCCAACAGTGAGTCACCACTGGAAGTTTGGTGACTCACCAAGCTTTGGCCTTTTACCAAGTCCGAAGCCATCACCGGTGGTGGCTATAAAGCCACCGAGCCCCTGCCAACGAGGGAGAGACCAACAGCAAGCAACCAAAACACAACAAAAAAAGGAGAGAAGAAAGAAAATTGACCCTTGGAGCCTTGATCATCGCCGGAAGCCAAACGTCGCCGGAGAACAGAAAACGGTATTTTCTTAGATCTACTCCGATTATGAGTCTTTTAGGGTAAACTAAAGCTATATTCGGCCTTAGGAAAAAAGGGCATTTATTTTCGTGTAAAAAAGAAACTTTCCGGCCACCGGAGGCGGTGGCGGACGGTTGCCGGCCGGCGACGGAATTCCCTCATATGAGGGAATTTTAGAGAGAAGTGAGAGACAATTTTAATTCTCTCTGTTGGAGAGAGAAATGAAATAGGAAAATGAGGAAAACCAGCCTAAATGACTGGTTAAAAGGGTTTAAATACCTATCCTCGAACGACGTTATTTTGGGGAGGGGCCTGTTTGTAATTTGATAAGGGTAAAACCCCGTCCGTAGTCCATCAATTTTATAACTTTATATTTTAGTCATTAAATTAAAGTTATGATCCTTTTAGTTTGGCCTTTTAATTTATTTATTTTATAATTTAGTCCTTTATATAATAATAGATATTTTAGGTAAAATAATAGATTTAGTCCTCTAATTTTATTAATTAATATTTTAACCAATTTGATATACGAATTTGATATATATATTTATTTTATTCACTAAATTAAATAAATGTAAAAAAATATGTTTAATCCCTGTAATTTTAAATAATTAATTACGAATTAGGTATTTAATTTTAATGTTATAATTTAGTCACTAATTTTATTTTCATTTATTATTAATTAGAAGTTTTATTTCTTTTATATTTTCAATATATAGTTTTAAATTTATTTATTTTAGTCACTATTTAGTTATATTTTAATTTTATATGTTTATTTTCAATATATTTAATTATTATTATTATTATAAATATATATATAATAAATAATATTTATTTATTTTATTTTCTATTAAAATCCTATTTATAAATTTAATTTTATAAATTACTTTTAAGAAAAATAATAATATTTTAATATATTTTTCAATATTAAGAAAGGGCAGTCTTAAAGCAATTAGATGTGTATTTTATTATATTTTTAAATAAATAAATATCTTATTTTTATAAATTATATATATTTTTAGATAAATGTTTTATTAATATTTATTTTTCAATATTAAGAAAGGGCAGTCTTAAAGCAACTAGATGTCCATTTTCTGATATTAATAACTTACTTTTATAATATATATATATATATTTTAATTATTTTAGATAAATGTTTTATTAATATTTTTTTAAAATATTAAGAAAATAGTTGTCTTAAAGCACATAAAAACCCTTTTATGATATTTTCAAATAAATAAATATCTTATATATATATATAAAATATATTAATAGATTTTCTTAAAATTATAGTAATAAATTTGAAATAACAGAATTATAAATTAAATATATCTTCGAATTTTTAAAATTTCTAATAATATAGACAATTTATAATTAATGAGTACCAATTTTGGACGTTATAGGGGTACTAATCATTCTCTAAACGTAATCGACCACGAATCATTTATTTATGAAATTTTTTTTGTTATACGCAGATCAGTTTATCTTTTAAATTATATTTTCTTGAAAACTATTTTAAAAGATTTTTTTTAGGTATTTGACCTACCTAATCCAAAAAGGTCAATGGCGACTCCCTAAACATTTTAAACCATTTATTCACATCACTTTTCCCGCCAAGTAAAAATCTCGTGCCCGGACAAAAACCGATTGCCTTGAATTTCCATGTGCTATTAGATTACACATTAAGTTCATTGACTGACACTTCCTCTCCACACTTGGCAACATCCAACTGCAATTACTTAATTCAAATCCAATTCTCTTTTTACATTGTCTACTTTTAGTGTATTTGTGGCAGGCAAGTCCCAGCAAAAATTGGGTAAAAGTTTTAAAGTTCAACATATTGGCTTGTTTGGTCGTAGGATTCTAGCTATATTTCAGACACATCCTTTAGGTTCTCTTCATAATTTTACGGCTCTTTTCTGTCAGCCACATTTCACATGGGAAGACCAGAAACCAAACAAGACCTTGTTGCCAGCTTGCCATAATATATGGAAATTAAGGGTCCCAATATCAGATAGTCACCGAAGATCAGACGAAAATAGCATACCATTACTGACAAAGCTTCCTATAGAAAACAAGCAGCTCAAATAATTAATTCATGTCAACTCAATTAGAAACATTGCCATCAAAACTTAAGGTCCCATAGTAATCAAAGGAATATACGGATATGATAATTTCAAGTATAAAAGAAAAATATCGTTTGGGGTTGTAATCAGGAACCATGAAAATAAAATTCCACCGAAAGAGAAACAAAATCATTAATAGATCCAATCAAATCTGTCCCCGGGGGGTTAGATACAAAGCTCAAAATCCATTTTAAAACACTGCTAGCTTTCCCATCAAATATACCATCTTTTTTCTCCCTTACTATTATGCTGTACAATCTCAAGAAAATTAATGCACTTTCTCAGATCATGACAATGGTGGGGACTGCCCTCTCAACTAACACCAACTAAATTCCAAAATGAGGACTAATCTTCAAGAGTGACTGCCTGCACTTTCTTCAAACCCCGTTGCAATGTAGAGCATTCATTTTATCAACTGTTTTTAGCTATGGATTCTTTTTATTGTCTTTTTATGTACCTTTGTTTAGATTATTAACTGAGGGGAGCCCTCTGAGGAGCGCCTTTCCTTTTGCTCAATTGTTTACGAGGCCTTAAACTTTTGAGCACCCATGTTTTAGTCTCCTCTTCTGAAAGATCAGTCGATGTGAGCGACGACTGCTTTTCCTCCGAACTTGCTTCCAAATTCTGATTGTCTTTCCATGAAACATCGCGAAATTCTTGTATTTGTAAATCCATTTTATGGCTTTGGCCTCTAGGCTTCACATCAACGGCTGATACCTGCAAGCATTGATTAGATTATGGTTTACATTGCAAACGAGGAAATTCAAGTTGTAAGCTTGAGTTTTAAGAAACGAAACCCGACATGAACCTCATTTACCTTGCATGCAATGGAACAAAAACGGTTAGGTGGGTCTTGAAGGTATCTTCTACAAGCTTCGCAGGCAGCACCGGTTTTCGATTTCGTTGATGGCTTGGCATCTTTAGCTTGAGGCCTTGGATTCAAATGTACAGCCTTTTCACCATTGATTTTGTATGTCTATCGGATGATTAAAAAACATTTCAGTAAATAAAACTGTATATGATGATCATTCCAACTACGACTAAAGTTAATCAAAAAGAGAAAAAGTAAATAATAAGTTGAAAATGTGGATGAAAAATAACTAGAAAGCAATTCGGCACTAGAGCAACAGGGAAAAGCAATTTGGATGATTCTGCAAACATAATGATAAGAAAATCTCTCTTTTTGACATCAAATCTTGGTGTTTGCATGTATCTATCTTTCTATAATATAATTTAGAGGATCGATAATCACCAAATTCATATTCATCTATGCATATATCAGTAAGAATTGGAAAAAAATAATAACAATATTTCCCTATTTTACAGAGATTCTTCAAATTTACTTAAACTACTAATATACTGTAAATGCTTCAAAGCTAAAGAGTAGTGAACATATGAAAAACCTGAATTTTGGAACAGTCGAGATGCTTCTGCATTTCTTGAAGACGAACAACGTCTTGATATACATATTTGCAAATCTGAAGTGATCGGTGCTGGCTATGAGACTTACAATGCCGGCAAAACTCGAGACAACAGTTAATGCAGAAGACATTTTTTTCATTTTTTCTTAGGTCTTGATGATCAAAACAAGGACCAAAGAACTCACTTTCCAGAAGGGTACTAAGCCAATCTGTTTCATTCTTAAGGTACACCCCACAACCCACCTACAATACCAAATTCAATTCATTAACATCAAATAAGCCTTGAAATAATGTTCTAAAATTCTTGAAATTATAAAAGTTAATCCCAAGTTCATATCAACGGAAACACAATAGTAAGTTAATACACAACAGTTAAGATTCAACTTTTAATGTGAATATACCAATTAGAAGTAGAATTCATTCAAATTTCAATGAACTACAGCATTCAAGATTCTAAATTCCAAACGGGCACAGTAAAGTAGTCGGATTCATGAACAGAGTTGGAAATTTCAACAAAATCAAATTAAGCAAGAGGATTTACAGACCGTTTTCCATCGAGTATAGCATAGCTGCAATAAACACGAGATTGAAAAAAGATTGTACTTCTTTATATTTATCTAAATTTTCCTGGAAACCAAACAGACCCTTCATCCCTGATAGTAAAGTAAAATCAATCACCAAAAAACAAGAAAAGAAAACCCATCATTCAAAACTGCAAAATCAACTTCTGCAGAAAGAGACAGAAATTCTCACCATTTCTATGCTTTGAATCGGATATCTCTTTGCTTACTGTGATGAATACTCAAATGAATACAATTTGCAAAGCAAGTTTGAGAAGAAAACAAAGAATTGAGAGGACGTTGGAAGAGAAGCCTACATAATGTTGAAAGTGGGAAGGAAAATATAAGGAATGTGCAATGAAAAATAAAAGAAAAGGAAAGGAAAAAGGAGAAATTTGTGACAGCAGAAATGTCTGGCGAGGAAATGAAAGTGACCTACCGTAGGCGGGAAAGGTCAATAAATCATTCTGATTGGACAGTTAAAACTTGATCTGACGGCTATTATTGATTTGTTAAAAATATTAAATGATGGAAATCATCCTCGTCGTGCTTCAATAACCAATTAGTATTAGTAATTCTTGATCACCCACTATTAACATCACATTAATTTTACAAAGTACTTTTAATACAAATATAAAAGTTCAAATTTTCCATTTAGTATTTTAAAATTAACATCTATTTGTCATTTTATATATGTTTATTCTACAATTTAATTAAATAATTATCATGTTAGAGGTTCCGATTTAATTAAATAATTTACAAGAGTATTTGAATATTTATGTTTAAGAGTTTTTTGAATTACCACCTCATAATCTTTCTATACTAATAAAAAATATTTTTCTATATCTCATCATGTTAATTTTTTAAAATAAAATAAATTTTAAAATGTCATATTCAAATAATTATTTATCTCTTAAAACTAATAATAATACTAAGAATCTATATTTCAAAAAATAATTGTTAACCACACTTTTAGTATTATATACTATTATAATTAATCTTTTTGAAAATTAATTTAAATGTTAAAATGAAAATATATTAAAAATCAATTAATAACCCAATGGGTGCATGTAGATGCCACTTAATCGGTTCCTTTATAATAAAGATTTTGTTAACAAAATTAGTAGAAGTGGAAAAACTTTATTCAATGTACATTGAAAATAAATAAATGAAATGACAATCACAACATTTAAACACAATCTTATTACCATAAATAGAGGATTAATTAATTTTAAGGACTCGATTTGCCCTTAAAAGAGTGATTAGCGAGAATCATAATTCTATTAAAAAGGATTAAATCGAAAAGTAGAGAATAAGATTGCAATAATTTCTCCATTAATTATGTTTTGAGAAATCATTGAATTTCCCACAGAAAAGAAAGCAAAGATTTTTTTTTTTAAGATGTTGTACACTGACTTTTCCTTTACCCTCAATTTTCTCCATTTGGTCAGCTCTTCTAAAGACAGCTTTGCCCTTCCGATGCTTTGCATCAACAATGTTTGGTTCAATGAATTGATGGTTATTTTGTGATTTATTGTTTAAATAATATAAAACTTTTAATTTGTAAATTTTAAGATAATAGATGTTTAAATATTATCAAATCTACATCCTTTGAATATTATAATATTCATAAGATCGAATTATAATTTAATAAATATTATAATTATAACTAGTGAGCATATCTAGTGAGCATATTAAATGTTAAATTTATTCAATATTTTAATATTTAATAATTAATTTTTATAAAATTAAAATTATACGCCTTTAAATTATTGAAAATTTGTGGGGAATGGATGATGTATGTAGATGAAGACCACAATCATATCAAACGAATATATTATATAAAAAGTAGTTGCTACATATGCTCCGAAATTTGTTAAATCTCAACAGTTAATAAAATCAATTCATTAATTAATAACCTTAAAAAAATAATAAATAAATATAAACGAGAAAGGCATCTCTAGGAGTGATATCTTACCTGTTTAAAGACAACTTTAAAATAATTATAAATTTTTATACTTTAAAATAATTTTATATTATTATTTTCCTTATATGAATTTTATCATAAATTCCCTAAGTACAGGTGTAAGTAATTACCAGTTAATTAAATTTTACCAAGTCTATTATTTAAAAGAAATATATTTGAAATAAAATATTTTTTATTATTAACAAACAATTAATTTAATGAGATGAAATATTAAATCCCTTAAGCAATGTTAGAGATTCAAAATTTGGTGTTTGTGAATGGAATAAATTGAGTTAAAAGAGTCGCCATCATCTTTGTAGTATTTGTTTAGATTAATCATTAATAGATCGGATTCATGTGATTGAATTAAAAAGATGAGATATTCAAAATATTAATTTATTTTAATTTTTATCTAAGTTTACCTAAAACAATAGATAAAATAGTTAAAATATGCTCCAAATCCATTACTCTTCTCACATTTTTAATTTAGTCATCTCATTCTTATTTTTAGAAATTTAGTTCATCTACCTTTCATTTTTAAAAATAAGTGCAACCTTTAAAATCATTAAAATTCTTTTGTTCAATTCAAATTTGTTACAAACATATTTAAAAATATAAGTCTAATTGTTAATATTGTTTAAAAGTTTCTGTTGAATTTAAATTCATTACATCTTCTTTTATTATTCCAAATTAATATTTTCTTTTTTGTAAAATGTGACATCATCAAATATAAAAATAACAATTTTAATGGTATTAACAATTGAACTTAAATTTGAAGAGTAGAGACCAAATTCTTGAAGATAGTTGAAGGACTAAATTTCAAATATATAAAGAACACAAGAGCTTGTAGCATATTTTAACCATAAAACAATATAATGATAAAACTGAAATGGTTAATTTTTTTTTAAATCAAAAGAGGAAGAGCCTGATTAAGATCTAGACTTACAAGAAGGCGGGCCGCAAATGTCCCTTTCAAGAAGAGGCTGTAAAGAGGTCGGGGTAGATCAGAAATCTTCAGCGATAAATAACAAGTATCCGCAAGCTTGGTCATACTGCCTGCAGGAAAATTTCCTTCACGAGACGTCCAGACAAAGCTAGTCGGTGCCGAAATTTATCAATGGCTCTCACCAAAGGAATTGTGCTGGAGGAAGCATTCGGGTCAAGGATAAGCTTAATAACCTGCACACAGTAAGAATGTACAAGAAGAGATCTAAAACCATTTAACCAAGCAACATGGAGACCATGCCCAAAGCTCGACATGAGGCTATCCATAACTCCAATGGTTTTGTTGAAATCAAGCAGCCAGTTACCAGAGTTATCTCGCAAGAGACTACCCACAGAGCCAAGTCCCGAATCAGACAAGATTGCGCCAGCCACATTCAAACAAACCATTCTTGGTTCTGGCCTGTTCCACTGATAGTTACCATTTATTGTTACCAAACAATTCCTGCTTAAAATGTTTTTTTTTTTAAATTTAACATTTATAGTTATCAAACAACATAATTATGCTCAATGCTTAATCTTTACTGATATACCTAACAATTTTATACTATAGTTTCTATGCAGGTAAAATTCATTACTAAAATGCTAATGAAATTGCTTCTTTTTAACACTTAAATTTCCACTATCAAATTAAAATAATGTTAAAAGGCATCAACTCAGTTAAAAATAATATTATACAATAACAAAAAAACATAGATTTAGAAGAAAATTTGTGTCTATTTCGAACATTTGGTCGATTGGTCAAGTTGTTTATCTTTGTTTCCTCTTATTCCATTAAGCCATGGATTCTAAACATACTAGCAACATTCCCCTTCTTTCCTTATAGTCCCCCTTCTTCTCTTTAAATAGGACTAGAATTATATTTAGAAAAAATAACCACAAAAATTTTATATATGTATGAAAGTCCTTATACTTAGTACACTTTGTTCAGACAAGTCCTTATGTCTTTCAGACTAAATAAGTACCTAATTTTTTATTCTTTTTTATCAACCTATGCCCATGATTTAAACTACTGAATTTCATAGAGATCTTAATAAATGACACGGGAAATTCTACGGATTTGGACACAAACATAAGAAAAATAATAATACTATTTAAACTTACACATGTCAAATTTACTCATTATAACAAATCAACCTAAATCTTTAATTAAACACTAGCTATGTGATTTAGCTATGTTAACCAAGTATTTTGGTATTTAAAAAATGGATCTCACCCATGTTATAAACAAGAATTCATTTGATTGTAAAAAAATATGGACTTAAATTTAACAAAATGTATGCTTTTTCAGCATGATACTTAAAAGAACTCTACCTTGGACAAGGAGTGATAAAGAACCTCACCCATGCATGGTTACAGTAGCAAACATCAACTGTATGCAAATGGGACAAAAAACCCTTTTCTTGTGAATTTAATAACCTTTCCTCGTATCTTACTTCAGATGTCTCCGCTTCTGCTCAGGTCTCAGTCTTTTCTCGTCGTCCCATTCCCGATCATACATCCTAAACTTTGATCAATGAAATAGCAATTTTTTTTCTATATTCAATAGAATTTATGTGAAGGCCAAATATTACTGGCCTAATTAGCATTTATCCTCTGCATGAACATGTGGCACGGATCTGGCCTAATTAGCATTCATTTTCACAGGACGAACTATGCAAAGTATATTTAGATAAATATAACAATAATTTAGCTCACTTTTTAAGGATACGGATCTGTGTCTCGACGAACCATCTTTCCGGTTGCCTCTTTACCATGAATCCTCATCCCCGGTTCCTCCATGTAACCCCCACGCTGCATCATGGAACCCTTCCGTTCTCTATCTCGTAAATCATATGACAGTGACATTCCAATGGAGAGAGATGGGGGTGGTGGAGAGATAGGAGAATATTTACCGGGCTCTTTTTGCATATGCTCTCTTGATTTTCCGTCTTTTGGCACCAGTTGCATCAACATCATCCTCTTTCACAACATTTGCTTTCTCTCTCTCTCTCTCTCTCTCACCTACATGGAGGCAAAATTGTAATCAAAATCCTTTGCCCAAAATAAAAATACCTATATGATCTCACAGCCCTGATTTTCAAACAATGAGCAAATTAGAAGAGCATCTAGCTTCTTTTTTTAGCTCAACAGCTCAGAGCCAAAATTATGAACTCAAGAGACCAAGCATAAAATATAAAAATATATCAGGGACTAAACTTGAATAAATGACCAAAAGGAACAATGACTTGATAGATGTGGCATAACACTAATAGACAACAAAAATAATATAAGAATAAAGATGGAGCAGTTCAATACCTTCAATGACAACCCCTCTCTTTCTTCTCGCTTCCTCTTTCGAAAGTCATCCTCTCTTATGCGTTTTCCATCATCCTGGGGAACCAAGGAATTTTCTTCTGACCATCTCCGCTCCTTCTCTTCATGTCTTGGAGAGTCTTTGAGTGTGTCTTGTACTACCAAACTGTTGAAATTTCTTCAAGCAGCCGGCGGCTGCAACAAAAAGTGGGGTGCTAAATTTTTTTATTATTTTATAATAGGGATAATTACAAAATTGAGTTATTAAACTTTAGGATATTTACAAGATTAACCCTTAAGCTTCAACTATAAATACCCTATCTCATTTAGCTTCAAAATCATCCCAAAATCAATTTCGTTCTCCCAATACTAAAGAGTTTAGAGAGTTCTCTTGTGAGTAGTGAGTGTTTTGTAAACACCTGTAAATTTTATCTCTTTAGTAAAAGATCTGCAGCAGTCCAGAGACGTAGGTAAAAATTGGTTGAACTCCGTTATCAATTTCGGGTATTATTTTTCCGCTTTTTTCGCATTCTCATTAATCTGGTTATAGGGAAATTACTTGTACTGGGTTTATTTTCCCAACAACTGATAATCAGAGCTTTTGGTTGTGAATTTTGTCAATTTTTTGTGAAGTTACTATTTATTACTATTCACGTGAATAGTGAATTTCGTGAATAGTAAAAATTTTGTCGGCAATACGAGTTTGTCGACGGATGTGTTATAATACACGGTGGTTCGCACAAATTGTCAGAAACGATCCAAAGAAGCTAGATTCGAGTGGGAGCGATGGCTGCAGACAAATGGAAGGTGAAAATTGAAAAGAATGGCGAAGGGAAGATTGAAGATTTTCCAGAAAAATCTATATCACGACGGGTCTTATGTCGGCTCTCTCCAGTATGTATGAGAAGCCATTGGCCTAAAACAAAGTTCATTTGATGAGGCAATTATTCAATTTACGGATGACGGAAGGGGCATCAGTGGCTCAACACCTAATCCGACTACCATTATCCCCCAATGTTGCTTTCAATATAGCAAAGGAAAAGACCACGACGGGTCTTATGTCGGCTCTCTCCAGTATGTATGAGAAGCCATTGGCCTAAAACAAAGTTCATTTGATGAGGCAATTATTCAATTTACGGATGACGGAAGGGGCATCAGTGGCTCAACACCTAAATGAACTCAATACAATCACAACCAAGTTGAGTTCAGTGGAAATTGAATTCGATGATGAAGTTCGAGCTTTAATTTTCTTATAATCTCTACCAGACAGTTGGAATGCTACTGTTACAGCAGTCAGCAGCTCGTCGGGAAACAATAAATTAAAATTTGACTATGTTCGGGATCTGGTACTGAGCGAAGAAATTCGACGGAGAGAATCGGATGAAGTATCAACCTCCTCAGCCTTGCAAACGGAGTCTAGAGGGAGAACTTCAGAAAGAAATTCAAATCATGGCAGATCCAAATCCAGAAGGGAAAAATCAAGAACGGGGAAGAAAGATTTTACCTGTTATAACTGCGGCAAGAAGGGTCACTTTAAAAGAGATTATCGAGCACCGAAGAAAAATACCGGCGTACAGGAATCTGCCAACGTGACAGAGGAGACAGGTGATGCCATGATTCTAAGCGTCAACAGTCTGATTGAATCATGGATCTTGGATTCAAGGGCATCTTTCCACTCCACCTCATACCGAGAAATCATGGAGAACTATGTCAGTGGTGATTTTGGGAAGGTTCATCTAGCTGATGATGAAACCTTGAAGATCTTCGGAAAAGGACACATCCGACTAAAGTTGCCAAACCAGACAACCTGGAAGCTGACAGGAGTGAGACATATTCCTGGCCTCAAAAGAAATTTGATTTCTATAGGACAGCTTGATGAAGAAGGTTATAGTACAACATTTTCAGGCTGTGAATGGAAGATTACCAAAAGAGCACTCATCATTGCTCGTGGTAAGAAGACTGGTACTCTCTATGTAACCTCAAATTTAGAGAATATCATTGCTGCAGCAGATGCTGATGGAAAATCAAACCTATGGCACCAAAGGCTTGGTCATATGAGCGAGAAAGGGATGAAGACAGTTTTGTCAAAAGGGAAGCTGTCTGATCTAAAGAATATAGATGTCAGACTATGCGAGGATTGTATCTTTGGCAAACAAAAGAAAGTCAGCTTTGCAAAGATTGGTAAGACACCCAAGGCTGAAAAGTTATAGTTGGTTCATACTGGTGTATGGGGACCATCTCCAGTTCCATCTCTTGCAAGCTCATTATATTATGTCACCTTCATCGGTGATTCTAAAAGGAAGGTGTGGGTTTATTTTCTGAAGAAGAAATCATAATTCTTTGATACCTTCAGAAAATGGAAGGCCATGGTGGAAAATGAGACTGGTCTGAAAGTCAAAAGGTTGATGTCTGACAATGGAGGAGAGTACATAAATCATAGATTCAGAGATTTCTACGCAAACAATGGGATCAAGATGGAGACAACAGTTCCCATGACACCGCAGCATAATGGTGTAGCAGAGCGCATGAACAAAACTCTGAATGAACGTGCCAGAAGCATGAGGATACATGTCGGATTACCCAAATTTCTATGGGCTGAAGCTATCAACATTGCAGCTTACCTGATCAACCGTGGGCCCTCAGTTTCTTTAGATGGAAGAATACCAGAGGAAGTTTAGAGCAAGAAAGAAATAAACCTTTCACACTTAAGAGTGTTTGGTTGTATTTCTTATGTACACATAGATTCTGCTGAAAGAAGTAAACTTGATGCCAAGTCCAACAAATGTGTCTTTGTTGGTTATGGTGGTGATGAGTTCGGTTACCGATTTTGGGACTGAAAATCGGAAGATCATCAGAAGCAGAGATGTTATTTTCAATGAGAATGTGATGTACAAAGACAGGGCAGACATAGAATCAAGTAGCTCTAATACCGAAGCTGAAACAAAGGAATTTGCTGAGTTCGAGGAGATTTCTAGAAATGATGTTCAAATCAGTCCTGAAGCAGTTCAAGAAGAATCAGGCACACCAAAACTGAGACGTTCCTCCAGAATTCCTAAACCAACCCTGCGTTATTCGCCTTCTTTACACTACTTGTT